GTTAGTCTCTAAACCAAACAAATACTTTTCACAGACTGATCTCGAACCAATACTGAGTTTTTAGTTAGTTGTCCTTTAAACTGAACTGTGGTTTCATACATAGGCTGACCATGAACCAAGATGGAGTTTTCAGTTGACTATCCTCCGAACGAAACTTAGATTTATACCAAGATAATCTAGAACCTACTGCGCTTTTGTACAGGGTTGAGCTCAAGAACCGTTGGGGAGATTTTTCACTAGTTGATATTCATGAACCCCAAAGAGTGCTTTTCAATGGCAGATCTCCCAAACCAAATGAGACAACCCCCCCCCCCCCCCCCCCCCCCCGAGTACAATAAAGAACTTTTTCAATATTTTAGTTGCCAACAAAAATGATAACTTCCTAAGGAATAATTATTTACTCAAGAAGAAAATCTACTCTTGGTAAATTCATAATAATGCCATCACCGATAACAATATCTTCATTGATATTCAAAGACACTCTCAAAGCACTATTGCTAAAATATGTGAGAAAGTTAAAAAGATTTAGAGAGATGATGAGAGAGATAAAAAGTGAGGTTTTCACATATTTTTAAATGTTTTGAAATAATATAGAACCTCTTTATTTATAGGCAAAGAAATTTTGTAAATTTGGAAATGATCCATGGGCCATATAAATGACCTAATCGATTAGGCAATGCCAATAATCATTGTGGCTACACAGAATAGAAGATTTAGATATAAAGCAGTTGCCAATATTTAAGAGATTGTCATAATCTGTAATACCTTGTATCCTCTTAAGCACTCAAACCTTTTCCAGTTATGACCTATTGAGTTTTTATATGCTCTATTACTTGTTTGTTGGAACAAATAAAATAATTAGTTAACTCATAAGAGCTTAATTAGTAAAAGAAGGAACATTTTGGTAACATTGATAATTGGTTAATTACTCACAAGAAGATAAATCTTCTTTTAAGATATTTTATCCTCTGTTTTAACCATTGCCCTGTCCTTTTTGTTACTAAGATAAAGAAGAGAAGAGGAAAAGAAGAGAAATAGATAAAGCTTGAAGGAAGAAGAGTAAAACTTGGAAGCAGAAGAAAGAAGCTTGAAACAATAAGGAAATACACTCAATTCCTTCGTCAATCATCTTCCTAGAGGTGGGTTCTAGGTAGTTTAGCTTTTGGGGAAATAATTTGCATGAAATGGGAAAATTATGGTTGATGTATTTTTGCCATATTCATGGAAATTGAGTTGATACTTGTTTTTATTGTGTGTGATATTCCATGTTGGTTGGTGTTGTTTTGGTGTAACAAAATGTTATATGTTTTTGTTGTTGCTTACTTTCCTTCCTTGTAACGTTTTGTTATTGGATATGTTCTAGCATACTCGCAAGGCGAGGGAATGGCTCACTAAGCAAAAGTTTAGTTCCCATGCATAGTTGTTTTGCTGTTTTTGCTAAGCCAGAGGAATATCTCGCTAGGCAAGGTTTCGCTTGAAACTCGACTTGTCCTCGCTAAGCGAGGTAGCTATTTTGTGAAGTGGATACATTTTTTGTGTCAGTTGGACTTCGCTAGGCTGGAGATCTCTTAGATTCATCGCTTGGAGCTTGCTAGGAGAAATAGGGGAAATTTGAAGGGTTGAGATCACTGCCTCGCCTCACATGAAACTCGCTTGGGGCTCGCTGAGCGAGAGTTCTGATGTTTTGAAAAATGTTTGTTGTTTCTGTTTCCACCATAAAACGGGAGCCATAACTCTGATTGATGTGAGGTTCGAAGCATTAGAAATCTAGTACAATGTGTTATCACATGGCAAAGAGAAACCATGATTATAAACCATGTAGTACTTGATGAGTGATGATGTGTTTTATGAAGAATAATATGATTTATATGCTTGTGTTCAATGTGCAATAAATGTTTAAAATCTTATGATGATGAGTGAGGTTAAACCTAGGGTTGTAACTAGGTGAATAAACTAGTAGGGATTACTTAGGTTATGACTAGGGGTGCAAATAGGTTGGGTCGGGCTAAGCTTTGTCAAGCCTAAGCCTAGCTTGTAGTCTGTCATAAGCTTATTTTTAGCCCTAAGTCTGACATTTTCTAAGGCCTGGTTAGCCTATATAAAAGCATGTTATTTTAAATAGACTAACAAACTAAAAAACCAATGAGACTAAAAGTTTGTTTACATTGACTTATTTTAACTTACCTATTAGCATAAGTTTTGTGAGATTATTTGTTTAAGATAAGTTATGAAAATAACTTATAACATTGTTCATAAGGTGTTTTCATCTTATTTTTATAAGTTATCCAAGATAACCAATTTTTATTTATGTATTTTAATTCAAAGTACAAAATATAACATAATGATAATAAAAAAATTATTCATATTTATTTAAATAGGTCAGCCTGTTAGGCTTAAAAGGCTTTTTTCATGGCCTGAGGCCTACCCTTTTTAACTAAGTAGGCTTATAAAAAGCTTAGGCCTTTTCTATTTAAAAAAAAAATTGGTCTAGCCTGAGCCTGTGTAAGCTAGGCCCGTAGGCCCCTGTTATCGTCCTGGCCTATTTTCACCCCTATTTATGACAAATGACTTAGGTTGTGATGCTCGATATGATAGGTACCTCGATGTGTACATATGAGTGATTCGTCATTCAACATGAATCATTTCATCTATGAAATGTTGGATGGCATTGATGGCTAAAAATAGTTAATCATGAACTAATATGCTTTGTATGGAACATGAGATAATGTTATGAGATTGGTGAAGGTGGTCACCTAGTAGTTGTTGAGTAAAACCATGTTGCTAATGATGGAACTAGTCATGTATTCAGAAATAACTCCCTACTAGTGCCCATCCAAATTGCGATGCTTATGTAAAGCATAATTGCGATGCTTATTTAAAAAATTGCTTTACAAAACTGTTTTAAAAAATCAATGGCTAACAGAAGTGACCCAGATCAAATCGTCAAAACCGAACCGCTATAAAAAAGCTCGGATATGCGTATATGAAAACGAATAGATGATAATGATAAACAAATCAATCATTATGCTTTAATCACAATCACTCAAAAGTAATACAATAAGTAAAGCTATTTCCAATGATAATATACAAAAAAAAATGTAATTGAGGCAAATTATCAAACACCTTATATGCAATCAATTTCGTTTATAATTTTGTATGATTTTGTTGATTTTCAAATCCAATCACAATCTAATAGACTATGATTAACTCAACAAAACCTTTTTCAAAGGTTATCAAAAAATTTAACCAAACGTATTGATCACACAATCAACAATTTGCAAATGAAAAATAAGAGAGAGAGAGAGAGAGAGAGAGAGAGAGTACACAAGGATTTGTTTAAGCAGTTCCCCAATCGGCCTCGCTATGGGTACGTTTGTTCTCAATTCAAATTCGAGTTGAGATAGTGAAAATTTACCTTACTTTGCAAATGTAGTTTACAAGAGAAATGTAGCAATACAACCCTACAAACCCTATCTTTGATGTTGATTCTAACACTTTCTCTTTCCTTGATCTAAGTTTGATCAAGTCACTCAACAATACCAATGTGATTCACCGTCTCACGTTACTCCTTTGCAAGAACCCCCTTTATTCAAAGCCTTCACTCTATCTAATCCAAATTGTGAATTGTTGTAAGCTAAAATTTATCAATTTGATTCACTGTCTCACATTACTCCTTTACAAGAACCTTTCGTTCTTCAAAACCTTCACTCAATCGAATCCAAATTGTGCAATCTTGTCCAAAACCTTCAAATCCCCAATTGATCATGAAGGAAACCCCCAACTTGATTTTCTTATTTGAAACCTCAAAGATCTTAATCCAATTTACAGTTCACCAACCTAAATTGGATGTTATCAACACTAAATTGGGCATTATCAACACTAAATCGAATATGGCTTCTTGTATCAAAAATCTTTTTAACAAGGGTGTTCATGCGGTGTGTTTTGTTGAAACCATCTAATGGTGGTGCAAATAGATTTGGATGAAAAAACTTTCAATTGAGAAAAACATACCCATAAAAATGGATGGACTCACACTTGAGAGAGAAATTGTTGGTATATTAAATGTGAGTATGAGTTACACATACATTTTACAAGTGAAAAGAGTCATAGATTTAATGCCTTAAAACTTTTGTTAATATGTAACGTCTCTGACTTGTGTGATTGTACCCCCAACAATGACTTGACAAGTTCAAAGTTACATGTCTTACGCGATTCTATTTTTATTTTTTGAAATTTCTATCTTTGGAATCTTGTTAGAAAAATTTGCATTACTATTTTAAAATTATTCATTCTTCTTTGCAATATCCCATTAATGTACTATTCATAAAGCCTTCAAGATATATTCATTAAACATGAATTCGATGTTGATGAGATGTCTTCCGGTACCAACTTATGAGCTTAGATAATGACTCATATCCCCTCCAACACTAGAAATCCTTAAACTTCATTTCTCTTGCTACGAAAATGAAATCATGTTTGCCTCTTTGTACTTGTATTTCACTACAAACAAGCACAACTAATAATGTCTTCCACTTCATCCCTTTCTAAACACCTCAAATTGCTCAACAAATCCAAGAAACCCAAAAACACCAATAGAGTTTTCTAGACATCACTGACAATCTTGTCCAAGCCTGTTTATGGTCATACATCCAAGACAAGTTATCACCTACCATGAATGGTTCCTTAACTTGGTTGATGTCTCAGAATCCATTTCTAATGTCAATTTCATTACTACTCTTTTTGTACAAACTACAAAACACCCATAAATTAAACACCCATAAATTGAAATGGAATAATCAGAATTAATATTTTATATAGATCAAATGTGAATAAAATATACACATAATACATAGATACAAACACAAACATAAACATATACATACAAATTTTGTGTCTTAACATGTACCAACAAAAAAGAGGATTTTGACTTAATCTAGGAAATTTATGAAGAAGACCCAACAAATAATGAATTTCCCTAATCTATGATCATCTTATAAGAATTAACAAGGCAAAAGATCATCACCAAAGAGATAAAGAAGTCTCTCAACAGCCCAACTAGGTTGATTAGGAGAAACACAATCACTCAAAACTTCTGAAAATACCGCATCAGTACTTATCAAAGGAGCTCTACAAAGTGGACAAGTTTGATTATGATTCTCATTCTCAAGACCATGTTCCAACCATTTATCAATACATTCTCTATGAAACACATGACAGCAGTTCATCAATTCTCGAACCTCATCTTCCATTTTCATCTTGTTCAAACAAACGGCACATGTGGTGGAAGAATCCTGTGTTTCCGGATGTCTTTCTATGATTTCTCCGAAACTCGTTAACGGCAACATTTGACAACATTGTTGTTGGTGCTGCGGTGTGTTTCGGTTTTTGATTGTTTTGAAAATGAAACATAGGATCCATCGTAGAAGTGCGAGGATTAGAGCTGCTTCGTAGATGGATTGGGTTAGGGTGAAATTGGAGATGGATTGTTCGGTCATTTTGAAAATGTTGAGAAAGGGGATTAGGGTTTGAGGAAGAGGGGAAGTTGGAATGAAGTGTGTGGGTTGGTTATAAAGGAAATTTTGTGTAGGGTGGGGGTGTGGTGGAGGCAACTACTTTGCTTTTTCTTTTTTTCTTTCTTTTTTCTTTCATTTGCCTTTGCTTTTTTACTTTCATTATCTTATACTATCTTCTATGTTCTTTCCTGTTTTTCCTTTTCAAGTTTCTTTTTAAAAATTTCTGATTGCATTCTTTTTCTTTGATTTTTTTATTGTCTAGGTATTCTACGTCGGTAGTTAAAATTTAGAGTTTTGTCAATCTATTATTTGCAATAGAGATTGTCTCAATGAAATTTGATAATATGATTAAAAGATCTACATGTTGGTTTGGTTTGGATCCTAGAAGACGAAAATTCTAACAGATATATAGATGACATTCTTTGTGTGATTGAAATTTCTTATTGTACAATTTCTAAACTAAGGAAACATTTGAGTGATCTCAAATATTTGATCTTGAAATATCTATCAAAAACGACCTTGATTATGGCAAATTTTATAAGGGAAGCTTCTATTAAAATGCTGATGTGAATATTCGGTCTTGCTTGAAGTGAAGAAAAAGTACGTAATGTAGATTATCGATAACTCTCTTTTAAGTATGGGTGAAAAAATGAACCCGTTTCGTCAGATATGTCTGTTTTATCTATATTTTTTGCATAGTTGATCACATTTTAAGTCAGCATCTTTTCTTTTAATATGTCATCCGCTACATTTTTTTGCGGATGTGAGTATTAAAAAAAATTTAAAATAACTTGTAGCCTTTAAGAGTGCAAAGTCTATGTGCTCGCTCTACCCCACCTTCATTTTTTTGTGTAGAATGAACCAAAATTTTGGATCCGCACTCGTCCGTCCTGTTTTTGTATGAGGTTTTGCATGATAGGCCTATCCAGAGCAAATATGTCTCTATTCAACCGGTAAATAAAAGGGAGGTGAATTTTTCATTGCTTGTTAGTTTTAACCCATATAAACTTTTATAAAATTTACAAACTATATTTAACTTGCAATAAACACCTTTTGAGATTGTTGTGCACACATCTTGCTAATCATGGCAAAAAAAAATTCGAACTCGGTCTAACCCAACCACTCGTTCCGAAGAGTGAAACCAAATTGATAATAATTAATCTCCCAAATAGTGAAACCAAATTGATAATAATTAATCTCAAACTCGTCTCGCCTCATTGCCAAACCTATAGAATGTATTATTTACATCTAGCTACCGTACATGCAAGCAAATTAGCATCATTGACCATAAGTTATATAATTAATGAGTTGATGTTGAAATGTATCCAAATATCAATTCTATTAATTAAATGCTTATCCACCGTCCTTTTATAATTAAGACTAAAAAGTAAACGATTAGTCCTCAAGACGCTTCCGCGTGTGAACAGTTACAATGTGAGAGGCCAGTGTAAAGAAAAAGTTTGACGTATGAATCGAATATTTTTATCAAATAGCTAATTACAGCTAGTACAGTTGTATCACAAGATTTGATAATGGATCTTTTTATTCTATTATTGATATCTTCTTTATTTCCACTTGTATCAAAAAAAGTAATGCTAGTGTATATATATTCAAAATGAATTACAGAAGCACATACGTAATACATAATTATATTTTAATACATCAAATCCACGCAAGGTCAGTGACAAACCACTTGAAACATTATTGAAATGGAGGTATGTGATTGACCGTTTTAGCTTTAATAAAACATGTTTTAATAAAGTAATATCGTGTTAATAAACTATTGGTAATCAACATTAAGAGATTGATTATGCATGATACAGTTGTTGGAATGATGCAATTTTTGTTAGGTGGAAGATAAAGGTTTCATTCCCTTGCTTACCAAATCAAACAACTTTTTTTATACAAGATCATGAAACGTCATAAGGACCCATTTGCATGTGTTGATTCCTAACATCCTAGTCAGATCCAACATGCATACAGTAACATTTGCCATAATTTGGGTGAGAAGTACGATGAACATGACAAGGAAGAATGGGTAGCGTATAAGTGGTGGGGTGCATGTGATGGAAAATGATCACACAGTCAACTATGACTCATTACTTGCAATTGAAGGTAAAAGAAATGAAAAATGTTTTCAGACACACTTTTTATTATCAACGTATGCAAAAGTTTGGTTTTCCTTAAATGGGATCTAGAGTTTACTTGTTGTACACAGAGAAAATGAGAATTCTAAAAGCTTTCTTTCCTTAAATAAGTACATCTGACTCAGACTCAGATTCAATGCTCTTACTTCCAAATACTGAGGGTATGCACACACAAAAACCACTTTTGATTCAAACTTTGTAAAAAAAATGCTCAATATGTCTTACACCAAACAGATTTAATCTGGATAAATTCTAAGATGTCTTAAATAGGTTGACATGTGCATAGTAGAAAGAGATGAATTGAACTTCAGTTCTGGCACACTATAGTGTAGCAGAGTTACATTCTGATTTCAGTCACAGAGCCCTATCAGAACTTAAATGCCGGTAATTTTGAAGCTTTACCTGGGGCACCACATAAGCGGCTACAAATAAAAGTAACAGAGCATTCAATTCCTTTGGTCCATTGATCTGCTTTCTTCAATTTTCTGTCGCATTTTGTATTGAAGTGTAACAGGAGCACAATCTAAAGGCGTTTCTCCTGAATAAGCAGCAGCGAGTTAGGGTTTGCATTCGTTCATGAAAAATTGTTGGATATTATTACTTTCAAATCACCGCAGAGATCAAGCTGAAACTGCAATTGGCTGAACCTTAGGAAGGGAAAGTATTAATTACCTTGTGCATTTTTATACTCCAGGCTTGCCCCCGAATCCATGAGAATGAAAACTATATCAGTTTGATTGAAAACTGCAGCCTACAGAGAATATTAAAATTAGTTTCCACTTTACGATAAAGAAAAACAGAATTACATTACTTCATGCTTACAAAGGCATGAACATAATAAACACACAAGAGTGGGAGAGATACCAAATGCAATACAGACAGTCCTTGCTTATCTCTGTAATTTGCATCCACACCCTGCATAAATAGAATTCATGAATAGTACTTCCCTAAAGAGAAAACTATAAAGGTACATCATTTGAAAGAAAAATACCTCTTTAAGAAGCTTTTTAACAGCAGCAACGTCACCATTTTTTATTGCTTCTCGTAAACCCTGAAAACATCACATCAAATTCACATATGACATGCAAGTTGCAATAGCCAAGTTCTATTTGCACGATGCCATATAAAAAATTAAAAAATCTACACAATAAAAAACATTTACCTCTCCATTAACTTCATAATCCATTTGGGGTTTGTTTGAGGTGCCACTAGATACATTACCGGGGTTAAACGTAGAACTGCAAATTTTGCATCATAAACTATCATAAAGTAATCAAGTGCATAATTAAGTAATAAGTTGGCAATTGTAACCTTAGACATAGTGAGATGAGATAATTGCTTTCTAAATATTCAACATCCTAAAGAAAATTCTGCATACTAAAAAAAATCAAGTTATTATAACAAAGATGTCACTTTATTTCTCTAGTTCACAAAAAGGAATAGAGCTATAACACAGTCGACCAACTACCAGTGTTTTGGCTGGAGTATAACTCCAGAATATTCAGACAGAAATCCCCTCCTTATTTTCATGGGAAATGTTTTTTTTTTCAAAGTATAGGCTTCAGCGGATGAGACATGGAAATGCTAAACCTTCCTCATTACCATCTCAACCAAGAAATTTATAAAATGCAACATAAATTTCTCGTCAATTGGAAAGTCAACTTCACTTCTAAGGAAGTGCTCTTTTTCTAGTGGGACTAATGAGCTTGTAACACTTGTTATAGTGTCGGGACTAAAAATGTTAAGGAAATGAGAATGCGATTTCAAGCTTTCAAAAGAAGAAATCCTTTTCTTTTACTCTACGTAACCAGTTATTTTATCCACAGGCTGGAGAATTATCATTACCCCAAGATGCAAACTATACATTGGAACCCTCTACTGTGTACCAAAATTGATTCAAAACATGTATACTACTGAGATTACCATAAAAATAATATCTGTCAATCAGTCCTTACCTAAACTTGTTCGTGGAAGTGGAACTTCTATTTTTTGAAACATTATCTGTCTTCTTGGGTTTAGGATTTGATGGAGCTGTAACAACTGGGGTAGGTTTCTTCTGTCACAAAGAATGAAAAATAGAAAAATAATGAGTTTGTGGATTTCATTAAAAAAAAGGATCTGAAGGCAAAATGAATTATCACCTCCTGGGGTAGTGCATCAGAGGAAGTGGCAGGGGCTTCACAAATGCAAAGCGGCATTCCACACTTACACTCTTTAACACCTGGTGCAAGCTTATTATCTGCAGTAGGTGGTCTTTTTGAATCAACATTTGCATCAATATCTAATTCAGAAACTGCATCTGTTATGCTGTTTACTCCATCTGAAGAAGCTTGTGGTACACCCTTTCCAGATCTGTGCCAAATAAATTATGTAATGTATAAGTGCTTCCTAAATAACATTGATCTCATTTAGATATAATGATATCTTTACATAAAGAAGAAAGAATATAGTATATAGTTGTTATAGTATTAAAAAAAATTCTAATGTCAAGAAATGAGACGGGCTTCATGTTGGATGAATAATGGGTTTTGATACGTATTGCAGTCCAAAATTGTAAGAGGAATAAGAATTTGATAGTTTCTCAAGAAACGCATATAACTGCTGAATTATTAATAAATATAGCATCAATCATGTAACTTTTGTAAGATTTGATTTGCGGCTTCTACTTGGTATGAAGTAGACGGTCTTTCAAAGGGAATTTCAATTTTGCCAAATAAATATGTTGAGGGATTGGGAAGCTTTGCTTCTTTGATGTGTTCTGTTGGACTTTCTGCCTTAATTGCGGTCCGCCTCTAGTCGCCTTAATTGTGGCACTTTGGCTATCTTTCATTGCAATCCCTAACACCTTCATTGTGTTGGCTTTGAAGGGGTGGATTTAGTTCCACATTGCTTAGAAATATGGCATGTGTCGTGTTTATAAGTGGGAGCATTCCTCACCTTTCAAACCAAATTTGTAGGGATGAGTTAGACTCAACCAAAATTTTGAAATGGTATCAGAGCCCATCCTAGATCCATTGTTGGACTTCCCGCATCGTCCACGCTTCGGGCTCATTGAGGCCCAAGCGTGAGGGGTGGTGTTGGACTTTCCGCCTTAATTGCGGTCCGTCCCCAGTCGCCTTAATTGCGGCATTTTGGCTTGCCTTCATTGCAGCCCCTAACACCTTATTTGTGTTGGCTTTGAAAGGGTGGATTTAGTCCCACATTACTTAGAGATATGGCATGTGTTGTGTTTATAAGTGGGGGCAATCCTCACCTTAAAATGCGTTGGGGAAGTTTTTTTTACTAGGAAGCATTAAACATTTGTGGGACTATTTTTATTGAACCAACACCTTTGTGAGGGACACACCACATATTCACCCAAAACCTTAAGGTGATATGTGGGTGGGTTCTTTCACTTACAAATGCTTAAGTCTCCACATTTCAACCAATGTGGGACTATTGCCCACACTACTCACACTTGCTACATTCTCAACACTCCTCCTCAAGTGTGAGTCTACAACGCTCCCCCTCAAGTGGAAGCTCTTCTTACCTCCACAAACTCTTGTAACGCACGAAACGTTTCTTACTTACCACCTTTGTGGAGCCGTTGACACTCTTCAACGGAACGTTTCTTACTCACCACTCTTGTGTCACCGTTGACTTTCAATACAAGTATGTTGGTCCATTTTTCGAACCTGAGCATTAAACATTTGTGGGACTATTTTTATTGGAGCAACACTTTTGTGAGAAACACACCACATATTCATCCAAAACCTTAAGGTGATAGGTGGGTGGACTCTCTCATTTATAAATACTTATGTCTCCACATTTCCAATCAATGAGACACTATTACCCACACTACTCACACTTACTACATTCTTAACATATTCTTTATTCACTCTTCAACTTTAGCCTCTTAAATTTTAGTTTATTATCCTCTAAATCTTTAGTTTATTATCCTCTAAATCCATCCGTGTCTTTATGAAATTCTTCTTATATCAAATTAAATCATTACAACTCTTGCATTTAGTTTTAAATGAAAATACTTTCTTGGAAGAAAAAAAAATATTACCACTTAATGTGATAGGTATCTAAGTACTTGAAAACCCACCCTTTAAAGCTAGCTATTAAGGGGGAAGAACCAAGCCACTTATATGCTCCAGCAGTGTAGTTAAGATCGAGTGTTGGGTCTTAAGATCTTACGATCTTACATGCTGAAGTTGCCTTTTGGTGCTATGATTTGAGAAAAAACTTTTTTTGTGCATTTTGTGGTCAAGATCGATTGCTAGATCTTAAGATCTTACGTGGTGAAGTTACCTTTTAGATGACTATCATGATATGGGAATACATAACATCTTAGATGATTTGACTTGTTTGTTAGATTTATGCTTTTTGAGCTACTTATTTTGAACAAAGTCTTTTGAAGTTATGGAATGATGGTTATGAGTTATTAATTAAATTGGTTGAATTTTGTGATTTATGTTATTTTGTTCATGATTTATAACTTTCATGTTTTTCTGTGTGTGTATATATGTCAAATTACCATTTTGCCTTTCGATAAGATCTTAAGTGTCATGCTATAATCCTAGTTTTACAACCTTTTACCGGCCGTCCGATCCTACTTAAGATCCTGTGTTTGACTACCTTGTGCTCTACAGAGCATCCCATACTACTCGATGTGGGACTTGGGCACCCCATATTATCCAAGTCCTTATCATAGCACTGCACTAGGGAGCCAACATTCCAGCGGTTGCATTCTACACCCTTTACTCAGGCCATTTTTGGTCATCCCCTCCGTAGGTAGTCCTTTCCAGGCCACCAACAGCCAGCTCTGATACCAATTGATAAGCATCTAGACACTTGAGGAACCCACTCTTAAAAGCTACCTATCAAGCGGGAAGAACCAAACCACTTAAATACTCCACCAAGTATATCCCATACTACTCGATGTTGAATTTGGGCATCCCATAATGCCCAAGTCGCTATCAAAATGCTTGAGAGCATTTTCAAGACAAAAAGACTAGAATACTAAGGTCGACTAGCTATTGAGCTGAAAGCTCGCATTGCATTGAACCCAAACTATAGACCAAGATGTGCTTAACTCCGAGAGTTTGATCATTTTTTATGTCTACATGGCCTCCCATGTAAACAAATAGGAAGAAAACTTTGTTATTAGGTTATTCTTAAAACTATCTCGGAAAAGACTTTGGCTTGATCTCAGTAGAGACTACCACTCCTTAATCACAACATAGTTTACCGGTCCCAATACAATGTATACTAGAAAGAATTTCAAATAACAAGTTCTGACATTTACGGTTAAAAGCATCACAAACTCCACCAAACAAGGTGTACAAATAAAATTTAACTGTCAGTTGCTCATGAAGTTGAACAGCTATACAGAATCCTAAAAACGTATTGGCTTAACAAATGTGATTTTGCCTTTCAGCATGCAAAGAAAAATACCCAGTTTTGTATTCAAATGATAATTGAAAAATAATAGCGAGCTACAAATTAACGAGGAAGTAATTTATCACGAACCGCGAGAATGATAATTGAAAAATAATAGCAAGCTACAAATTTATGAGGAAGTAATTTATCCCGAGTTGTTGAAACTATCATCACATACCGCGAGTTGTTTTTATTTTTATGGAAAAACTATTATCCTCTAAATTCATCCACCTTTTTCATGAAATTCTTCTAGTATAAAATCAAATCCACATAGCTCTTGCATATAGCTTAAAATGAAATTACCTTCTTCACCAGAAAAGACACAGAAAAGACACAAAATATTACCGCTGAAATGCTTAAGAGCATTTTCAAGACAAAAATAATATAGAATATTAAGATGAACTAGTCATTGAGCTGATAGCTCACATGGCACTGAACCCAATCTTACAGACCAAGGTCTGTTTAATTCCACGGTTTGATTCTTTTCTAGGTTTGCATGGCCTCCCATGTGACCAAATAGGAAGAAATATTATGACGGATGATCTATTTACATAAGAAGAAATGCATTGAATCCAATCTTACACAACCACTGTAAAACTAATACTTCACAAGTCCGCGCTATTTTTTCCTTCTCTAAGTGGTAGTAAGTTCCTAATTTCTTTTAAACGGAAATTTATTAGACACTGAGAATTACAGCTACCTTAAACTCAACTACAAACTAAATTTCCAGCCTTTTAATATTTCTAACATATCATCATAATTTAACATGATCATCAATTCTTCATTATTAGGTTGTTCGCAAAGTACCTTTGCAAATACTTTGGCCTGATCTTAGCGGGATGAAAATAGATCAAAATTTCAATTTCACTTTGAGTACTGTTCCTTACTCGATCACAAAATAAGTATACAATGGTCACTATACAATGTACACTAGAAATAATTTCAAATACTAAGTTCACACATTTATAGTAAAAAATATTGCATATTCCACCAAACAAGTAGAAGAAAAGGGGACAAATGAAATTGAACTTTCAGTTGCTCATAAAGTTGAACATCTATACATAATCCTAAAAACATCTATGCATTCAAAACAAATATACCTAGTTTTGTATCCAAACAATGAAGATAATTGAAAAACAATAACAAGATACAAAGTTTATGAGGAAGTAATTTACCGCGAATTGTTGAAACAATCAGCACATACACGGACATTGGAGTAAATGCCGAATTGAGGTAAAGCCTGCATAGAAAAACATTGCTCAATGAAGTTCATCAAGGATTATACTCTGAACTGAAAAAACAAAACTACACACCATTTGATCTGATGAATGTTCATTGCACAATGTTCTCCCACAAGACCGGCAGTGATGCTGCACACACACCACACAAAAGTAGTTAGCATCTGTATGTAAAGATCCCCAAATTGATAAACATAGAGCAAAGTGTGTGAATTTGATATTATGTAAGAAAATGAAAACTCTGAAAATCGAATCGAAAACATGCAAAGCGTGTAAGAGAAATGGAGGTATGCTTCACCCGTCTCCTGAAGGTGTTGAAACTGCAACTACAGACAACGCATCGCGCTGCTTCTTGGAAAGGAGGAGCTTCGGTTGACATTTTCTATTTTCGCCAAAACTAGGGTTTCTTCTTTTGCTCTTACGAATTTTCAGTGTTTTTTGTTCGTCAATTCGTCAGCGAGTGCGAAGGATCGATTCATTTCTTCAATGGAGAAGTCGCTGACGGAGATTGTGATCGTCAAATAAATTTCTCAAAATAAATAAATAAATAAATAAATAATAACAATAATAATAAAAAAATAAAAAATAAAAAATAATAATAATAATAATAATAATAATAATAATAATAATAATAATTTAATTTTATTATTTTGGAAAAGGGGAATTTTATTACTAGTACATTTCAATTTTTTTTTCACACCCATCCATTTTTAGTATTTATATGCCATGACACTTATATAAACTAAAAAGATAATGTTAATATACCCATCCTTATTTTTTATATGGTGTAAAAAGGTTTTAAGCTTGCACCATCAAATATATTCATTCCGTCTCATCCCTTTCTTTTACGGCTTTTACGAGGCAGACAATGTTTGTTTGTCATCTCTACTATAAACCATTGTTAAAATTAGAAGAATGTTATCCATGTGATGGAAGCAAAAATTAGGCGACTCAAGAATTAAGATAGAATTTATTGATAATAATAGAAGGCTCTGAGGAAGCACTTTCATTTCAATGTTAGCGAGCTAAACATCTTCCCTGAGCGTCCTGAGACGAAAAAAAGGTGAAGGAGGACATCGCCCAACTTCTCTTCATATATGATATCAATGAGGATTTTGTATCAAGACGGTTCCAAATTACAACCGTAGAGGAACATAACGATAAAATGAACTCATGAGAGCAGCTGACTTCTTTCAATGTCAAAATGCAACTCCAAAAGGGGCTTGATACCTTAAAATGCATCATTTACACATGTAATTTGAAGAGATGCACATTGTAACACCATTTTCTACCCCCACAAATATAATGGCAAATCAATCATATTTATCAGACTAAAATATTGAACGCAATAAAATCATCTCAAAAGGATGCACATTTCTCAATAATTCAAATATAGTCAATGCTCCGTAAACAACGGATTTTCCCAAAATTACTCAAAAATATTACTCAAAAGGCAGCGGAAGTCAAAAAGGCAAAATCCAAAGTTTTTCTTGCGCAGCAACATAATCAGAATAACCATAATCAATAAAATATGGTTTAACTCAAAGACCCCAACCCAATGTTACACTATCAGAGCAAAACCCTCTAAGTCAACCACAATGGCCAACGGCCCAAAAACTTCAAAAAAGTCCTTGACCGCATCCACGGCTAAACCTGGTCATCTGTACGTTACCCACGTGGAGGAAACATTCAAATAGGCAGGGTGAGTAAAACGATTCATAATAATCAATATAAAAATCAATATATAAAATGGTGTCATTTTCATATCTAACATCATCAGAATCATCAAGGAACATCAAAGGCCACAACATTATAAATTACACAAAGTTGTCACATAAATGCAAATGCAACAAGACTCATGCATGTGGTACCAATCAACAAAACTTGATGGACATTGGGCCATCAACCCTCCATAGATCCACAACAGTAGGATCGATTCTACACGAGAACTAGAGCACAACAAAATACCTCACATCCGCACAATGGGACTGAAGCCACAAGAATCAAGGTCCTAGACCGAAGTCCGAAATGCATATGAATGCATGATGCACACGACAATATCATCCTCATAATAAACTCATTAATTGCATCATCATTCATCAAAATTACCATAATAATCATGTCATTATATAATCATCAAAACTCATGAAATCAACATCACAACTCATCATCATTACTCATAGGAATCATCATAAAATCATGTACTAATCACATAGGAATTACAATCATACTCATGGTAATTCATCAAAGAAATCACAACATCAAAATATCAAGACATCACTGCACAAGATCAGAATTTGCGAAACTCTGCTACGTTCGCTAGCAAGTTCGCTGTGCGAGTTTGGGGCGAATGTTCGTTGTGCGAACTTGCGATTACAGCAAATCACTATTACGCACCAGCACAAAAATCAGTCCAAAAACCTATATGATTTCCTTCCCTAATGCCCCAAAAACATCCCAAAATCATTCCTAAGGTGTTACGGTGATAAAGGCACAAAATCTACGACTTATTAGGTCAATCCCGTATCATATTTACGCCTCCAATTCCCATAATTTCTTAGAACTACCCCACAGTCATTAAAGTTCTCACAATCAACTACGTTATACGGTTAAAACCTCAACAACAGATTTTGACCACGAAGTCCTAATTTTCCTTACTCTCAAATCAGCCTCAAACCTATCAGACCATCAGTTCAAATTCCTTAAACTCATTGAACTCACCATCAGAAAGGCAACAACAATGCAATACTCAAAAATCGCTAAACCCTTAAGTCAGCTTTAAACACATTGAATCACATATTGAAAACAATGAAGGCAATACTCCACATACCTTAATTGTCGACTTTAAACCTTTCTCCTTGATTCTCGGAAACCTTGTGAAACTTTTGCCTCAATCCTCTTTCTCAGAGCTCTGGCCTCTATTTCTTCTCTTTTCACGGGCTAACAAGAATAAATCTTAATTCCCTCAAAATTACTTTTTGTTAAACCTAACTTTGCGCCTTAAAATTGGGCTTTCCAACTTCACCCTCACTGACTCCTCCTCAAATGTCCACTTTGCCCTTAATTCACTCATATTTATTTAAATTAATAATAATACCAATATATTTATATTATATACTATTATTTAAATAAATAACTCAAAATCCATAATTCCCAATATTCACACCAACCACCAAAAATCACCAAAAATGTGAATATTCATATTTAAATAAATTAAATAAATATTCCAAGAATTTGGGTTGTTACAACTCTCCCCACTTAAAAGAATTTTCACCCTCGAAAATTACCTCAAGGAAACAGAGTCGGATACGACTCTCTCATCTGATCCTCACGCTTCCAAGTCATAATCCCTCCAGCTGGTCCTCCCCAAACTACCTTTACCAAGGAAATCTCTTTACCTCGCAGTTGCTTCACTTCTCGTTCATCAATCCGAACTAGCAATGCCTCAACAGCCAAATTATCTCTCACTTGTATATCATCCATCTGAATCACATGTGACAGATCTAGAATGTACTTCTTCGACTGAGACACATTAAACACGTCATGCAAATTTGCAAGCGACGACGGTAAAGCAATCTGATATGCTACTTCTCCCACCCTCTACGAAATCTGATACGGACCAACAAAATGCGGTGTGAGCTTTCTGGACTTCAAAGCTCGGCCAACACTAATTACCGACGTAACTCTCAAAGACACATGATCTCCTTCATGGAAATCAAGTGCTTTACTTCTCTTATCATGGTAACTCTTATGACGACTCTGCGACGCTTTCATCTTTTCTTGGATCATCTTGATCTTTTCAGTCGTCTCCTGCATAATCTCAGGTCCGAGTACAACACTCTCGCCTGATTCATACCAACACAAGGGAGTCCTACATCTCCTATCATACAATGCCTCATACGGTGTCATTCCGATACTAGAATGGTAATTGTTGTTGTAGGTAAACTCAATCAACGACAAATGACTATCCCATGATCCACCTTGATCCAACACACAAGCTTTTAGCAAACCCTCTAAAGACTGGACAGTTCTCTCTGTCTGTCCATCTGTCTGCGGATGATAAGCAGAACTCAACCTCAACTTTGCACCCAAAGTTGTCTACAAGCTCTCCCAAAACTTCGATGTAAATCTCGGATCTCTATCAGACACAATACTTGAAAGAATACCATGCAGTTTCACAATCTCATCAATATACAATTCGGCTAGCTTCTGCAACGAATAATTGATCCTCATCGGTATAAAATGAGCAGATTTGGTCAATCTATCGACAATCACCCAAATTGAGTCATATCCCTTCGAAGTCTTCAGTAGGCTTGTTACAAAATCCATAGAAATGCTATCCTATTTCCACTATGGAATATTCAACGGTTGCATCAGACCCAACAGTCTTTGATATTCAATCTTCGACTTCTGACAAGTCAAACAAGCATACACAAACTCTGCAACTTCCTTCTTCATCCCTGGCCACCAAAACAATTTCTTCAAGTCTTGATACATCTTTGTGGCACTGGATGAATACTTAACCACTTCTGTGACCTTCATTAAGAATACTCTTCTTAATTTCTAGCACATCTGGAACACACACTCTATCTCTGAACCTAATCACACTATTCTCATCGACCCGAAAATCACCCTTGTTACCTTGTCTCTTCACACACTAGACTCATATATCTGAATTGTTCAATCAGTCCTAACTCTTGAACCATAAGCATCGACATATGCAAGGACTTCTTACTTAATGCATCAGCCACAACATTAGCCTTACCAGGGTGGTAAATCAATTCAAAATCATAATTCTTCAAAAGTTCAAGTCATCTCCTTTGCCTCATATTCAACTCTTTTTTATCAAACAAATACTTCAGGCTCTTGTGATCATTGAACACTTCAAACCTGGACCCAAAAAGATAATGTCTCCAAACTTTCAACACAAACACCACTACGGCCAACTCTAAGTCATGCGTAGGATAATTCCTTTCATGAACTTTCAGTTGTCTGGAAGCATAAGCAACAACCTGACCATTTTGCATCAGTATGCCACCAAGACCCATCTTCGATGCATCACAATATACCACAAAAGACTCACTCGGATTTGGCAAGATTAGCACTGGAGCACTTGTCAACTTCTTCTTGAGTTCTACAAAACTCTTCTCACATGCAACATCTCATACATAAGCTTGACCCTTTCGAGTCAACTGAGTCAATGGGTGTGCCAACTTTGAAAAGCCTTATATAAACCTACAATAATAACCAGCCAACCCAAGGAAACTTCGAGTCTTAGTAGTAGACTTCAGAGTGTCCCACTACAACACAACATCAACTTTTGATAGGTCAACAACAATTCCTCCACTAGAAATCACATGGCCAAGGAAACTCACTTTC